AACGTAGATGTTTGAATAAGTGAAATCTAACCTGAAGTCCCAGACATAATCAGGGTTAATGAACGGCGCGACAAATCCGCCGGATGCCGCATCGACATGGATTGGTACATCCCATCCATTTTCTTCATTTTTTACCATCAGCAAATCGTTGACTGCTTTTGCATCTTCGTAATGTCCAGTATATGTAGATCTTCATATTTTAAGAATTAATTAATGACAATAATTAAATGGGAAAATCATAGTAAGTATAATATATTAACAAAAATACCCTAAGATAACGCAAACACCAATTGTGTTTTCGTCAACAAGGTCTACGGCCTCTTGCGGGTCGAGAATGTAGTTTCCTTCTGTCAAGTAAACAAATTTTTCTTCAACTTCGAGATACCTTGTTGCTATATAATGTATGATTTATTAGGTCTTAAGTAAAATTGAAAATTATAGAGATCAAAATATTAACTACCTTTTTCCCAACAAACTTGGACTGTAATGAAATTAGAAAGGATTTTTAATGTGATGAATAAATAAAAATTTAAATGTCATAATAAAATAAAATTACCCGAAGCTGACATGACTAAGTTGGGTCGTTCGGTCGACTTTCCTTCGGCAATTCTTCTTTTTTGCCACAACTTCTTCATTGCCAATACGGATAATATAATGGCTTCGGAAGAACCAACGGTAGAGACTCCCATTGATTCAGATGTTGCTTGATCAACCGGCGCATTAAATAAACGAGCAATAATGTTGACGCATCGATTCTGATTTTTATTTAATTAGTATTCAATTAATAAGATTTTTCAATTGTCAAGTGTAGTTAGTTTTCACCTGCAAATCAACAGAAGCTGGATATTCCTCATAATCGATAAAATTTTTGGCCAAATTTTCTTTCATCAATTTTTCGGCTTCTTTCTCCATAAAAGTTGTGACGAATGAAGCTAAATTCAAAACCGGATTTCCATCCATCTGTAGATGATATCCATTTTTTATTAAAGAATCGTGAAAATTATTGACCAGGACGAAAAGTTCGTGTAACCTTACCAAGAGATCATCCTTGATTAACTTGTAAGCGACCTCCGGTGGCATCTCTTCCTCAGGTAATTCGTATCTATGTAAATTGTAAAAATTTATGTTTTTATTTACTCTAGTATTATTTTCCAGTTATCACGAAATATTCAATTTCTAAGAATTACCTAGGAATAGGCTTAATTGCCCAACGAGTTCCATATATAGTGGAAGAGAATATCTTCATTTACAGACAGGTTATAATGACCGATAATAGATTAGGATAAAAATTCATGGTGAATTCTAACAACTCTTGTAAAAAAAAAAAAAACCACAAACTCGATTGCCGCATTCATCCTTTTCCTCCTCTATACGAGTGTCGGAAATGGCATGACTCAAGAAAACCATTTTTATTTTTCTTATTAGAACTTTCCAAGCAAAAGGTAACAGTAGATCGGTTGTCAAAAGTCCATGGCTTTATTTAAAACGATCGTTACTGAATTCGGCAAATTTTGTACTTATACATTTTTTTGTGATACTAAAACAAATAATATAATTAGTACAATTTTAGTAAAGTAAATTTTTCTCTCGAGATTGACAGCGATATTATATCATCACTTTTACCATTTATCAATGCTTTTGATAAAGTTTTGATAACTTTATTTTTAAAATTTAACTTAATTATTTATTTTAAATCTTAATATTCATTTTATTTTATTTATTTATCTATTATTATTATTATTATATATTTATTATTGTTATATATCCTGTATATATATTTAAAAAAATCATATTATATTATTTAAACTTATTATATAATAAAATAATTATAAAAAACAATTATAAAAAAACAATATAATTATTTTTAATAATTATTATTTAAAATATTTTTTTATTATATAGATATTAATTTTAATTTGTTTTTTTTTTTATAAAAACCTTTAATAATATTATTTTAATATTAATTTAATATTTAAATTTTTTTAAAAAAAATTTTTTTAATAAATATTAAATATAAAGTTTTTATTAAACTTTTATTTGCTACCAATATATTAAAAATCTTTACAAAATAGATTAATTTTAGCTTATTAAAAAATAAAA